AGGTGATGGCCCACCGCCAGCAGCCTGTACCCCCGGCCGAGGTGATGGCCCACCGCCAGCAGCCTGTACCCCCGGCCGAGGTGATGGCCCTTGCACAGAACCGTACACGGCCTATTATTGAGGGAGGAACATCCTCAGATGTGCAATCTTTTATGTTAAAGGTACGGTAGGTCTTTTCTCTGTTTCCCCTCTCTGCCTTGCTTTCTGTTAAATGTCTTAAACAAATATTCTAATGCATTACAGTAGTGGATGGTGTCTTGACCCTCTTGGATCCTGAACCACAGTCATTAGAATCTGTTGTGAGTAATGTATTTAATCATATACTTTAATACACTGCAATAACTGGGTTTTATATTTAATGTTTCAGTCCAATGCCTTCATCTGCTGCTAATTCTGTCTTGTATTGTGGTTTTTGTTCACTTAAGTTAATTCTCGAGGTCCTGCTTCTAATGGAAGTTTAATTTTTAGTTGTAATGTTAATACTTATGGTCAGGCATTGTACAGCAATAAGCATACCACTGCATGTCATACTTTGTATGTGACAAGTTGAATTTGATTGCATTGTGACCATGGTAAATAAATATAACCAACCCTCATCAACTGGATTATGAATAAATGGGCACGCCATGGTTATTCATGTAAAAGCCTTCAATGCACTCCTTGTCATTTTATACTTCCTGAGTAATCGGAATCGCCTGTATGTAATCTGTAATAATTTTATATTGGATGGTCGGTGTGTGTGAAAGAGGGAGAGAACAGCAGTAGAATAATCCCAGCCCCGCAGAATGTCGTGCTGTGACATCACATGGCTTGTCCAATCAACGCATTGAGCCATGTGGCCAGACAGGTAACAGGGGAGAACAAAGACTAACATGGACAGGATGACCAGCGACACCTGCTGGCCAAACAGGGAAGGGACATAGAGTGGGACAACAGGGGCTGACCCTGACACTATTCATCCTGTGAGCCACAAGTGGATCATCCACCTTCTTTTTCTGGCTTGCACGATGCCACACCCCTGTGATAAAAACCCTGTAGTCCATGATATTTGCTCTTTATTAAATGCAAATGGTATCTTTATTAAAAATTATATACATAAATTCTATAGATGTCATCAGTTAATTTATTTTCTGAACATTTATTTTCATGCAATAGCATACTTCAAAATATCAATTGGTCATTAATACAAAAGTTGCTGAAGAAGACTGCAGACTTTAAAAGTACATTCAGTGATATTTGAATTGAAATGCTTTTGAACTGTAAGCAAAACAAACCAGACAGCCTCAAAAGCACCAATCAATTATTTATACTTTATTAACATTGTTAATCTACAAACCAAAGATATGTCACTTTATAGGCTTTGCTCATGTAAATGTATTTTTTTTAAATAAAATGACATACAGTATTAAATGTGTTTAGTTGCAACTTTAGTGGACCTGAGTTGAGTTAATTCCATGTACTCAAAATGTATTTCAAGAATATTAAGTTAGCCAATAGGAATACTAAAGTAGAACTTAAGTGGTTAAAAAGTGCTCAAGTCATGTACTTAAGATGTATTTTACTATTTAATTGGAAATTCAAGTTAAGATAACATATACATTTATGAGTAGACTTAAAATACATTTCAAGTGTATTGCAATTTTTTTTATTCATTATTAATTCTACTAAAAAACAACTTCAGATGTCCAAAAAAGCACTTAGAAGTAGCACTTAATGTACTTTAAACATAATTAATTTGTAAGTGCTAAATAAATGCATTTAAATTGTAATAAGACATCCCAAAATAATACACTTTACTGAAAGTATATTTTTTTGTGCTGTGTATTTTTTGAATATATATGTTAGTACATTTTTTTCACAAGGGTATTTATGAAGGAAAGTTTGTTTTAGCTGCATGAAAATAAAAATTTGGCAACTGCAATTCAACATGTTTTTGGACTGTGGGGAGAAGGAAAATGGCATTGTGCTGTGTATTTCTGGGAATATCTTTAATTTAGCTGTAATCCACTAGGCCCAAGAGACCCTGACAGCCAGTAAGACTGAAGTATAAAAACATAATCCAAAATGCAAATAATATGGCTGCGTATTTGTAATTCAAGCGAACATTTGTCTACCTATAGACCCTGGGAAACGTGTAACTGTAATTCTGTACCCAAGAGGAAGTGAGACAAGGCCCACATTAAAGACAGAAGGCCACCACCACCACCTCTCAGCCTGGCTGAAGAATTAGCCATCACAGCAATGTACTGTAGCAGTGGGCAACCTATACTTGAAGGAATCCCAGAGAGTAGATCATCCGAAGCAGCAACACCCAAGGACCAAGTTTCTGTACAGTATATATGGTAGGTTTGCTACATTCACAATGGAAAAATTACATTTTGGAATCGGAGGCACTTGTCCCCCAGTAGTTTTGACATAATTCAAACTGAATTTCAAATCTAATCTAAGCTGGTGGATCTAACAGAGCTTAGGTGACCCTTAATGTCCTGTGTAGAAGTGAAAGTATGACACCCAGTGAGTCAGGGATGCCAAAATGCTATATTCCTAGCTGCCTGTGAATGTCCAGTACAAGGTCCATCTGGACCTTATCAAACGCAGAAATGCGAACTCCAGATTGTAACACCAGTGAGTGGTTGTTAAGAGGGAAGGTTCCTAATTGTTGTGAAAAGATCAATAAATTGAAGGTGTGTCATTTATATTTGTGGGCACTGTGGTCAATTTGTCTTCATTTTATTTATTGCAGTGGCAGTTGCTCAGAAAAATGCTTATTTGTGATGATGTCCCTGAGGGCTATTCCTGTGCAGGTCTGCATGGTGGAAGGTTTGTTCTTCTTATGGCTCAGGCTGTAAAAGAGATTGATGAATATTCACATTCCTATTCTCTTCCTGGGAAGACCTAGAGCCCATGTAGACACTGGTACCAGGCCTAGAACATGCTTATTGTCATACCCTCTGGGCCTAAGGAGACCATCACAACCATCCTATAATCACAGGGGAATATATATTTCAATTTGTTCTGTCATTAAAAAGTGAATACATACCTTTTGTATGTACAATGTACATTCCCCGAAAATCCTTGAATCACACACAGATCCTGGCCATTGTGCCTCAACGTTGGTTATTAGTTGTGTGGTGTCGCAAATGATCTTGGGAGTGGACACAGGTAGGCCCTGAAGTCACATCACTTTGTGAAGTAAAGCACAATGTCGATACAGATAGTGTGGAATAAACAAATCCAAATCACAAGAAAGACAAAACTCGATAGAACCAGCGCAGCAGGAGCCACACACGGAAACCAGATCATGAGACAAACACTCAGGTCGGTGGATAACTCAATATTTCAGAAGGATCGTGTACTATAAATCACTCCAAATTAATTTGGTTAATGAACTATAGGTGTGCCTAGTATTTGGAGGGGTGGCTGGATGGAGACTCTGCTTGATGCAGGCATATAAATATTAAAAATATGTTCATTAGTTTTTAAAATGTTTTTAACTACATTTATGTAAAGCACTTTGAATTACAACTGAGTATGAAATGTGCTTTTTTAGTGTTTTTTTTTAGTGTTTGGCATGGGTGTACTTTTGTGTACTTTTGGTATCTGACTCATTTTCTATTCTCAAAAGAACAACAATAAATTAGTCCTGATTAATCACCTCAGGCTGTTTTCAACTGTGACCCATAAAGAAAATAGTACAGGAAGTATATTCCCAGATCAAAGGTAAGGGAATACATCACTTATTAAACTTGGCAGCTGTTGACATTGAAGATCCATCCTCTATTCCTCCAAGTTGGAAGCAATATACAGGGATGAATGGCAGTTCTGTAAAAAAGAAAAAAAAACAGCACACAAATATACCAAAGAGCATGATAAAAAGTTGTGATACATAGAAAACAAAGAGCTTTGGGTATGTAATTAAGAAGAACAATACACATTTAAGAGCAGAGACACGGCATTTCAATTTGTAGTCACACAACAGCTCGTTTCTCCAATTAAATCTCTCTCTCTTTCCTGCCCTCGTCCTCTCCCCAGCGATGGACTTTTGAACTAGGGACGCGCTGCATCATGCTCATTGTAGAAGATGAATTTAACCCCTGAGAGTCACAGTATTCCTCTGAGTGATGGGAATAAAATCCCACTTATAGGCCTGGGAACCTATGGAGACCCCCGCACAGTAAGATATTTTTGTTTTTATTATTTGCATTTGCCTTTTTAATCTCATTCTTCAGTTTACTTGTTCAGTGATTTTCAACTTTTGATTGTAATATTCACTGTGTTCCAGTACTGGGTAAGCAGTTCCTGAAAATGCATGAATAACTGCAATAGTTTGAATAGTTGGTAATGCTTACATTAAGTGCACCTTCACAATGCCTTTATAATGAATTCATAGAACTTTCAATGCACCTAATTTGGCAATTAATTTATAGAACATTCAGAAGCGGCATGTAAGTGTACCATGACATCCTAACATACCATGAACAGCTCCACATATTATTAACAAACATTATGTTAATAGCAAACATTATAATCATATAATCATATAATGTTCAATATTAATGTGTATTGAAGATGATAAGGTATGTAAGGATATACTTACATGTTGCTTATAAATGTTCTATGTTTTATGAATGCATGATGAAAGCGCACTAAACATTCTATGAATGCATAATGAATGGTAAATGAAGGTGCAGTTAATAATAATGATAATAATAACAATAATAAAGGTGCAGTTAATGTAAAGCATTACTGAATAGTTCCATTAACATTGCCTAGAAGTGGTGTCAGTTGTAGACGGTGATTCGGCGCAGACACCCTAAGATGTCAGAAGTGAGTTGTAAGTAGCCTAATCTTCATGTGAATGTGGCTGTCATTGTATTTTTGATGAAGAAAGTTATGGAAAAACTGCTTTATTCAGGTACAAATACTGTTTACACATTGTCTATCTCTTGATGGCAGTGAAAGTAAAGAGTGGTTGTCATTCTATATTCCAGAGAAATAACAATGTAATGTGCTTTAATGGAAATGAAAAATATACAGCACTAAAAATTCAATCAGTTAAGTGTGTTTTCTGACTCCAGATGGAGTAATATCATAACTATACTGTCTGCTCTGGCTCCTCAAAATTCTATACTCACTTCTGAACAGTCACTTTAAATCTGAAATTATCTGATATTTGCCATTTGCACAAATTCATTGGAATTTTTCTGTTTGCATATCCTATCATGCACTCCTCTGAGCCATAAACACATATACAGTCGAGAGCAAAGGTTGGGGTCCAAGTGCTGGGTCAGGTCATTTATTTGCCACCCCTGGAGCTTTTGGGGGGTGGGGGGGGGGCTTTAGTTACAGGCCCTCCAGTGATGTGAATGTTTTGCCAGAGCTCAAGCCAGCAACTTTGCGACCACAGTTACAGAGGCCTAACCGACTGAGCCACATGCCACCCTTTGAATTTGACATGCCTTTCTGACATGTCATTGTGCTCAGTTAGCGTCGATGATGAATGCTTTTTCTGACAGACGCCCAAAGGAACGGCTTGTGAGGCGGTAAAGACAGCCATTGATGTCGGATACAGACACTTCGATGGCGCCCTGGTGTACTTCAACGAGCATGAGGTCGGTCAGGCGATACGTGAGAAAATCGCAGACGGCACGGTTCGACGAGAGGACGTCTTCTACTGTGGGAAGGTTTGTCTGTGATTGTTTTTGCTCCTACATAAGCTAAAATGAGTCAGTTCGCTCAGGCTGATAGTCATATACATATTTTACTTGGTCATAGCTGTGGAACACCTTCCACCCCCCGGAGCTAGTGAGACCTGCCCTGGAAAGGACCCTAAAAGCCCTGCAGCTGGACTATGTGGATCTTTACATTATCGAACTCCCCACAGCCTTTAAGGTACATACACATGGCTCAGCTATAACCAGATCGATGCGTTACCATTAAAACCTCGCATATTAAAAATATCAGGAATTATGGGTAATAATAGGATTATGAGCAGACCACTTAAAATATAATCAATTGCCAAACCAAACCTAATATAATAATAATTTTAAAATGCTGCGAAAGATTTTCTTTCAGTGTTAGAGCTTTTCTGTAGCATTCAACATCTGAAATGTTATCACTTTTTGAAAATGAGTTCTTCCAAAACAGAGCATGTTGGCTTACTGGGCTAACTTAGTATTGAGGGTATTTCGCAGTGGACTGCTGTGTTCAGGTGTGATATTCCGCTATGCAAAATGTGAGCATTTAAGGGATCAAATCACGTGTAACCCTACAAGAGATTCTTATTATTCAAATGTCCTCCTTCTGTTTATAAACTGATTCTCTGGAAACTCACACAATAGCAGGACTGGGTATAATCCTCATAGCATTGTATGTAGGTCTGTTCTTTCTAAATGTGCCTAAATTGAACACCTTTGCCTTCACTCATAAAAAGTTCGCCGAACTGCAGATGTTACTTACAAGCTGACCCTGGAATGGTGCTGTTTTTTGTCAGTGCTGAACAAGGAAATGTCTGTTGCATCCACAGCCCGGAGACACGTTTTACCCCAAAGACGAGAATGGAAAGTATATTTACCATGAAACTGACCTATGTGCGACATGGGAGGTGAGCAATATCAGAGTGTCCTGTTGGGGTCAGTGTACTACAAGCAGACATACATCTACAACACAGTATACTGGAAAAGGGAACCCTCATGTATATGAATATACACCTAATATAAAAGGAATACTCATTTATCTGTATAATATATAATACAAAACAAGTATCCATATATAGGACTGGCCAATCCTATTGACAACATAAGCTACTTCCCTTCACCAAGCTCTACAACTGACACCACCATCCCCAAATGAGCTTCAACCAGCCCTGCCTGCATATACTTTATAATACAAAAGGGATACTCATATAGATTTAGTTACACACCAGCCAGATAAGTGTGGATCTTACCACCCAACAGGCCCTGGAAGCCTGCAAAGATGCAGGACTGACAAAATCCCTTGGAGTGTCCAACTTCAACCGTAGACAGTTGGAGCTGATCCTGAACAAACCAGGCCTCAAACACAGGCCTGTATCTAACCAGGTATAAACATAACCCATTTATATGTTGATGGCGTTGCTGGGTAACCACAACATAATGTCTTTGTTGATTCTTATCACTTATAAGATCCATTTGTGCAGGAAACAATGAAATCAGATGCAGACGAATATGGGTGTAAATTTGGGTTTGGGTGCCTTGCTACAGGTGGAGTGTCACCCGTACTTCACTCAGCCCAAGCTACTGGAATACTGTCGCCAGAATGACATCATCATTGTGGGATACAGCCCCCTAGGGACTTCTAGAGATGCCTCGTGGTACCAAAATCCCTTCTTCATTTTAATGACTGTGATGATGATGGTGGCATTGGCCGGGACAACGCATTTTTATCTAGGTGATCAAAGACTGTATAAAAAGGGGTAACTTCTCTTTTTCCATACCAGGGTCAATCTAAAGTGTCCCCCTCTACTGGAGGATGAGCTCCTGGTTTACATCAGCAGGAAGTACAGGAAGTCGACAGCCCAGGTGGCCCTGCGATTCAACATGCAGCGTGGTGTGGTGGTCATTCCCAAAAGTTTCAATCACCAACGTATCAGGGCAAACTTCCAGGTTAGTCTGAGGGGGGCAACTTCATGTTAAAGGCTACCTCCTTTCAGCTGCTTTGCTTCAGGATGGTTTGAGCAAACAAAAATATATTACATGGCTCCTGTTCATACCTACAAAACCAAGCACAGACACATAACTGTGGGCCTCGCAGACACAGGTTCCATAACTGAACTGCACCATTGGGCATTCTCTCTTTACAGATATTTGACTTCTCTCTCACTGAGGAGGAGATGAGAGCCATTGAAGGCCTCAACAAAAACATCCGCTTTGTGGAGCTCCTCATGTGAGTGAACCTGACCAAATCATACAATGTTGCTCTGGTCCTGCCCATTTCCTGTCAAAGCACCTCATTTTCCCATTCTGTAACACACCTTCCTATTAATACCAAAGGATATTGCATTTCTTGTACCTCGTTTCCACCAACACGGAGCTGGTGCTGGTGCCAGTGTTGGACTGGTTCTCGCTTGGTGCCTTTTGAGAATCAGCCTGCATTATTTTGGGCCATTATTTTGCAGTGGAAATGTGTGGATCAAGTGCCAGATTGGGAAAACGTCTGGCACTAGCACTAGCACTGCGGTGGTGGGAACGAGGCCTTAGATCTCACTTTCAGGATCCAGGGTCTCCATGATTCCATATGGATGAATGTACAGCACTTGTTAAAACACATTGGCTGATTGATTGGTTACTTGTGAGCCTGCCCCCATTTCTGCTATTATTAAAGGCATTGCTGTGCTCTGCAGGTGGAGTGATCACCCGGAATACCCTTTCCATGATGACTATTAGGAACAAAGCATCCAAGCTGCTTCATGCATTGGATTCCAGCAGTTTGTGAAGGATGGAAATGACCCTGTGCAATAAAGTGCAGAAATGTTTAAAATCTTAATGGTTTTACTGGTGTTATTTTATTATAATGGTGAGCTGAAGCTGCAGATTTGACATGGCTATTACTGAAGCTGCAGGCTGAATGAAGATGAGCCTGAAGTTGCAGGTGCGATACAAGTAGCAAATGCTGTACATTTGACATTTAAGAAGGTTAAGAAGTTAAGAACAAGATTGCTATTATTGTTGATATTATTTCATTGCTTCTCTAACACCTGTGTCTGAAATGACAAATGTAACTGTCAATGCCAGGGGTGGGCAATTTTATCTGCAAAGGGCTTTCTTGGCAACTCCCAAATTAAGTTACTAATTAGAGGACTGATTGGCTGAAGAGTCCTCACACCTGGGATTGAACAGCTGACCTAAAGGTTATCCCACAAACCTAGACACACAGTGGCCCTTTGTGGATAAGATTGCCCACCCCTGGTCTATACCGTCAGCTATACTGGGGATCAGGTTTAACCCTTTACCCCTAGAAGGCGACAAACCCTACTGGGACCTCAGCCAGCACGTATCACATCACAGTCACTGTAACCTTACCTGGAGGGTTGGCAGAGTCAGTAAACAATTCCCACTCAAGGCTACACACAATACCAAGGCATCTGCAGTGCACCCATCACACACACGCAACATAAGAACATAAGAAATTTACAAACGAGAGGAGGCCATTCGGCCCATCAAGCTCGTTTGGGGAGAACTTAACTAATAGCTCAGAGTTGTTAAAATATTATCTAGCTCTGATTTAAAGGAACCCAGGGTTTTAGCTTCCGCTACACTAGCAGGAAGACTATTCCATACAATAACTACACGCTGTGTAAAGAAGTGCTTCCTCAAATTTGTTTTAAAATGTTCTCCCGCTAATTTCCACTTATGGCCACGAGTTCTAGTATTTAAACTAATATTGAAATAACCATTTGTCTGAACAGCATCCAGACCTGTTAGAATCTTATAGACCTGGATCATGTCCCCCCTTAGTCTCCTTTGCTCAAGGTTAAACAGATTCAGCTCAGCTAACCTCTCCTCATAAGACATTCCTCTAAGACCAGGAATCATCCTCGTAGCCCTCCGTTGCACCTTTTCTAAGGCAGCAATGTCCTTCTTAAGGTATGGTGACCAAACCTGCACACAATATTCTAGGTGGAACACATATCCCATTTGAGCCTCCCGTTGTACATATCTGACCATACGTAGCCATGGCAGAACAACTTGATGGGGTTCAACAAGTCACATTCTTCTGAAGGAGGTACGCTGGTAGTACTTGAGCCTTCGGGTCATTTGTGCGAATCCCACCCCTGCTCTGTGTGTTGGACTTGCATGCTCTCCCTGTGTTATACTGCTTTCCTCCAGTAGTCAGTAAAAGGGGGTTGGTTAAAATGGTCTGTAAAACTTCATCATAATGCATGACAGATACCTTCATAATGCATTATAATGGTTGGTATACAGTAAGCATTAAGGATGCTTTGTACTGCATTTTGAAGGTACATCATAAATAATTTGAGATTTTTACCTGGAGTATACATGTCAAGGAATGGGGGGCGGGTACTAATGCTGCATTCCATTTACACCAGAGGTTGGAAGTTTAGCAACATACTGTATATGGCAACATAAAATTAGACTTCAATGACCGGACTGGGGAAACAAACTTAACATGGACTTAAATACATTGAACTAATGACAGCAAGAAGAAACAGCTGGTAAACATGGGGATTCCATACGAGATTAACGAGGGGGCATGGCAAACGGAAGTAGATCAGGGCAGGACAGGACCCCCCCCCCCAAAGGGGAGTGAAGGGTGAGACCGGGGACATGGAGAAACCTAGGGAAACACAAGCCACGGACACACAGAACAGGCAGAAGAAAGACAACTAAGACGATAAGCGGCAAACCACAGGGAACGCGGACAGACACAGAGACACCAAAGACAGAAACACAGAACCGAACACCAAACAATGGAACAATGGAGGAACACCAAGGGGCACACCAACAAACAGAAGACAGGGACCACAGCACCTACCTGTAATACCAAGGCATTCCCAGGCCAGCCGTGAGATTTAATCTCTCCAGGATGTTCGAAGTCTGCCCCAGGGCCTCCTTCTAGTGGGACATGCTCAAAAAACCTCCCCAGGGAGCTGTCATAATAGATAGATGCCCGAACTACCTCAACTGGCTCCTTTCATTGCAGATGAGCAGTGGCTCTACTTTGAGCCATTCCCGAATGTCCAAGCTCCTCACCCTACCTCTAAGGCTGAGCCTAGTCACCCTGCGGAGGAAACTCATTTCTGCCACTTGTATTCGCAATTTTACTCTTTCAGTAACTACTCAAAGCTAGTGAGGAACATCACAGGGTCCGGGGATTGCCTCCACAACAGGCACCAACAACCTTACAGCCACAGCTCTGCACAGCCACCTCAGCATTGGAGTCGGAACATGGCCCATTCAGGCTCTATGTCCCCTTGGGATGCAAGAGGAGTTTTGCCAGAGGTGTGAGTTAAAGATCTTATAGACAGGGACCTCCGTCAAATGCTCCCACCTTTACTATGTGTTTGGGTCTACCATGTCTATCTGGCATCCTCCCCCAGCATCAGATCCAACTCACCACCAAATGGTGTTCAGTTCACAGCTCAGTTCCTCTCTTCACCAGAGTGTGCAAAATTCTCAAGGGCTCAACAATAACATTACCATGGGATTTGACCCAGCATTTTTCTGATCATAAGCACAATGTCCTGACCCACAAAACCACACCCCATGCATTGTGACTCTACATTCCTCTCTGTAGCATGATCCAAGATCCATAATTCCATTATTTTCATAATGTTTTTTTAACAAGGACTCTCTCTAAATTGGGTACCACCTTTATTGCTAGCCTCGCCATCTTCTTCGTGTTGTGTTTCATGTCTTATAAGCAGAACATGCCCATCTCCGAGGTGGTTGAATCAGCTATCACTCCACTGACTTGACCAGATCTGACACAACAAACAGACCCTGAGTAGAAACAGCAGCATCCCAATAGCAATGGAACCAATGCAAAGTGTCAGCTTGAGGTTTCCACAAAACAAACACTTATCTGTCTACTGGTGTTTATTGGACTAAAGCATGTACATGTGTTCTCACTAAAACAATCCCTCTGGAGTGGCCCAGACAGATCTGAAATATGCCATTACAAATAAGATTAGCGACAGCTGGAAATACAGGGCATCAATCCAAAAGGGAGGGGGGATTACAGCTGGCCACTGCAGAGGCCTGTAAGTCTGGCTTTCAGTCTCTCTAGGAAAAGGAGTCATTTAGCACATGAGCAAAAACCAAATTATAAGAAAATATGGAAGGCATGGTTTGCCTCAGGGAACTGCAATTGTCATTTACTTGGGTGCTGGTCTCTTTCTCAACTGCGTATGAAACATGAATTGCATGATAAGCATGGTGCAGATGCTATAAATCGCTCACTGACATCATAGCTACATAACAAGTTTGTAAGGAATTGTACAAGAAGATCAAAGTTTGCTGTCTATGAGGAGGAAATGGTAAGCTTGCTAGTAGAGAGTACCATAGTCCCCAGCATTAGTCACAGGCTTCTGAGACCACTTTCTACTAGATATGGAGACAAACATTCATGTGCCATGCTGGTGCCTGTCTCTCCTCCACAAGACGGGATGTACATCTTCCAACTGTTCGACTCCTACACCATGAGCACCATGTGCCTTCTGTTTGAGGCCATGCCATGGCCTGGGTTTATGGTGAGCCCCTGGCTGAATGACAAATCTTTCAGCTGCTGAGTTGCGTTTCCAACTGTACTGTTAATTATCTACAGACTTAGATGTACAGAATAGATATAAAAGCCTCAACATTTTACGCATCTTCTTCCCTAAGCTTTTCTATGCTTCTGCATCACATTCAGCAAGTATGAGGCCTTCATGTAATAACTAGTTCCATGATAATACAGACATGACTATTTTCCAGCCCAACCTCTCTCATTGAATACCTCTGGTTGTTTATCACTCTCTTTACCTGCACTGTAAGTAAAGTGTCCCCTGAAGACTTCATACTGCGGCAGCGTTTAAACTTCACAGCTACAGAAACTTGAGGATGAACTCTTATGCTGAAGTGCTAGCCAAACTACAACAGGCCTGCTGTTCAATATCTCCCCCTGCTGGCAGACTCCATTTTGGCAGTGGCTACCATTATGTTATTAGTAAAACAAAAGGACTAAGCCAAGTTCACAAAAAAAGATCATGTACATTCATTGGAGGTCAGTGGACAATCACTAAAATAATCAAACCACAAAAAGGTCCTTAAGTTAAAAAGCAAACTAATCTTGTCATGTTTAGCTAAGAAAGCAGTCACATGACATGAGTTTCTAGTGTGATTGACCTGAAAATTAAAGTCAAACAGGAGTCACTAAAGCCTTTGGGGTATGGAGCCTTAACAGTGAACCAGACATTTATTTCCTGCTCTTCCAGGGTACCCTTACTTTCTTGTTGATCAGATACACACCCCCAGAAGTACAATAGTGTGTATGTATACCCAAGGTGGGGCTATGGCCTGGGCTGGCTGCTCCCACTCACTTCCATGGTCCAAATTCAATTTGTTTCAGCAGGGTAGAATGATTGTATAATTTTCAAACAATATGATTGGAAAGCATATGTAATGTGCAAATCTTACTATGACTTTAGGAGCCAGGCCAATGAATGACATCAGTCAGATATATTGTGAAGCCAGAGAGCACTGTGTCAAGTCATTCAGAAGAGGAATGCACATGTATTACGCAGTTATCCAACCAAAAAAAAACATAGCCTGAGAATAGTGAACCCCAATGACAAAGGCAGTCTTAAATAACAGATTAAAATGTCCATTGAACCAGAGAAATGCGATAATTCAGATAAGGTAAATGTCATGTTGTGTCCCATTTTCCAGCTCCAGTGGCGATGGTACGGTGCTGGGTATGAAAATCACGGGCCAACTATGAATATACCCTTGGTCAGTAAGCACACTTAGTATACAGGATGTATA